CTTGAATGACGTGTCAAGGAGTTCAAAGGTTTTTACTGAAAGAAGATAAAAACTCTGCAATTATGTTGACTTTGAAAGGGGGATGTATATGTAGAGAGAGAGTCAATGACAGAAGGAAAAATGAATTTTGGAGCGACAAAGCAATCTAGAGTTTGGTTAAAAGAGACAGACTGTGGAAAACCTGACGAGTTAAGAGGCTGCAACACAGCTTTGACATGCAGAGACATTAGAGAGACAGTAAACAGGCCTTATATTTAAAGCCTAGAATTGTACTGATTTTATAACATAAGAAACAACAGGTAGAGTCAAGAGTGGCAATTTGTTTATGATCTTGGAGACTGAGAAGATTATGTCTCTTACAGATGAAAAGCAACATAGGAGACACCAAAATCCAGGGGTGGATTTTAAAATAGAAGATGATATGAATAAAATGATAGTTGGGGAAAACTGAGCTTTGAGCCATCTATAAACTCAAAGTGGATCTGGGCAGGTGACAGGTAAATGGCACATCAGAAAATAAAAGATATGGAGTATAAATCTAAAGGCTGTCATAGATGGTAATTTAATCCAGAAAACAGATGAGAGCCCAAAACACTGGTAAAAACACAGAAGCATCAATATTTAAGGAAAGAGCAGATAAACACTCACACCTCTAAACACACATATATTAAAAAGAAAAGAAAAAGAAAGAAAGAACTTCCTGGAGAGTTGTATGCAGCCTTTTCTCTACTCAACAAGATCCAAGGTCTCAATCACTTGGAAATACTGCTGGTCTTCAAGGATCCCTCCAAAACAACATGAGTTTAGGATGGTAGAGAGGTGATGGGAAGCTAGAGCAGAAAATTGCCTGTATTTCAGAGCCCAACAGCCAGGGCTCAAAATCCTTGAAATGTCTAGGCACCAAAGTGGTACTCAGAGCCAAGACAGCAGATGCTGGGAGGCAGGGGCAAGGAGTCAGACTGGAACAACAGGTAGATCCCCATGACAACCAGGCCGTGAAGATGAAGATGCTTGAAGTAGTTGGCATACCAGCTCTCTGACAAAATTATAGGGAGAAAGCTGAGTTGAAGTAGTCCAGGGGCATGGCCCTATTATCATATGAGACAGAGGCACGTGTTCTACAGAAGAAATTTTCACCAAGTGGGGCCCACAGGAACACTGCCCATGAATATTAAGTATGTATTCACAATAACAACAGAAAATATGAAACACATGAAAAGGCGTCTGGACAAGCACAAGTAAGAACTGAAGTTGAGAAACAACTGATTCGTAATGAGCAAAAACTGCAGATGTACAATCAGACAACAGAAAGATTATACTGCACACAAAATGATTCTAGGAATAAAGGATGCAATTACAAAGATGCTTGAATAACAAGAAACTATTAAGAATGAACAGGCATTTGAAAAAATACATCTGGAAATAAATAATAGTATAGGAATCAAAATTTTAGTGGATGGATTAACAGTGGATTTCATACAATAGAGGAAATACGAGGGAACTGGAAGGTAAGAGTATGAGTTGCATCAAAGGGGAGCAAAAGGAAGTTTTCTTTTCTCCTTCCCAAATGCATTCTTACTTCTGGCAATCATCACAGCATAATGTACCAGATTCCAGCAGACTTATTACTCATGCAATTCCTAACAGTAGGAATTCAAAGGGAGGCAAAGCATTGGTAATGGCTTATTTCTTATTTATTTATCTGTTCACAGGTACTCAGTACTGAAGGAGAAAGAAAGAAAGAAAGAAAGAAAGAAAGAAAGAAAGAAAGAAAGAAAGAAAGAAAGAGAAAGAAAGAAAAGAAAGAGAGGAAGAGAAAGAAAGAAAAGAAAGAGAGGAAGGAATGAAGAAAAATAAAGAAAGAGAAAATGAAAGAAAGAGGAATGGGTGGAGGTAGGGAGAGAGAAGGGAGGCGGAAGGGGAAATATACAGAGAACAATGGCATTATTGTGCTCTAATTAAAATGGAATAAAAATGGAGTAATGAACAGTCTCACATATTGTCAGTGGGTTATTTTAGAAAATAAGTAGATTTAAAACTGGGTTATACTTACGTTGAGTAAGTGCATAGACTTTTGTGTAGTAATGACAAGCTGTTATTTTTTTCATGATTGAGTGACACCATATAAAAATGTGACTATATAAGTGGGTGCTTTGGAGTATGATATCTTTTTTAGTACTAAAAATGGAAATATGCAACAGTTTTGATTTTCTCATTTAAAAATTATAAGTAATAATCATGAGCAGTCAAGATAATCATAGGGATAAAGAGTCATGAGATGCCAGTAAATCATTTATCATAATGCTTAGTAGAAAAAACCAAGTGCTTCAAAAGTAGATAATAAAATATTATATAACATAAAACAGTCATCCCTTGGTGTCCACAGGGGATTGGTTCCAGGACCCGCCTCGGATACCAAAATCCAGAGACCACAAGTCCCATAGTCGGGCCCTCCTATCTGTGGATTCCACAATCCCAAATTCAACCAACCATGGATTTTAAAAACAGTACACCATCCACATTTTGTGAATCTTCACCTAAGGATATGGACATATAGATGTGCCCAACTGTATATTTATTGAAAAAAATCCGCATGTAAGTGGACCCAAGCAGTTCAAATATACTTTGTTCAAGGGTCAACTGTACCTAAATATTCACATTGCTATACACATGTTAAAAAAATGCAAATACAAAGCATGAACGAGATATAAGGATATATTTTTTTCCTTTCTTTCTACACAATGCTTA